TATAACGTCGGGGAAGCTTTTAGGAATTGTCAGGGTCGGAAGGTCGGGGTTGCTTTAGGGATGCGTCAGGGTACAAACGTCGAGGTTGCTTTGGGGATACGTCAGGGCTGGAACGTCGTTGTCGCTTTGGGGATGCGTCAGGGTGAAAACGTCGGAATTGCATTATGGTTGATTCCGGGTTGGAACGTCAGGGCTGCTTTAGAGACGCGTCAGGGTTGGAACGTCAATGTTGCTTTAGGTATGCGTCAGGAATTGAACGTCAGGTTTGCTTTTAGGGTGCGTCAGTGTTTGAACGTCGGGGTCGCTTTGGGGATTCGTCAGAATAGGAACGCAGTGGTTGCTTTAGGGATGCGTTATTGTTGGAAAGTCAGGGTTGCATTAGAAGATGCTTCAGAGTTGCGTCACGGTTGCGTCAGTGTTTGAACGTCAAGGTTTCTTTAGGGATGCGTCAGGGTTGGACGTAAGGGTAGCTTTAGGAATTCGTCAGTGTTGGAACGTTTGGGTTGCTCTAGGGATGCATCAGGGTAGGAACGTTGAGGTTGCTTTGGGGATGCGTCAGGGCTGGAACGTCGGTTTCGGTTTGGGGATGCGTCGGGGTGTAATCGTCGGAATTGCATTATGAATGATTCAGGATTAGAACGTCGGGGCTGCTTTAGAGACGCGTCAGGGTTTGAACGTCAGGGATGCTTTTAGGATGCGTGAGGGTTTAACATCAGATTTGCTTTAGGAATGCGTCAGATTTGGAACGTCGGGGAAGCATTGGGGATGCGTCAGGGTTAGAACGTCGAAATGGCTTTAAAATTTGAACGTCGGGGTGACTTTAGGGATGCGTCAGGGTTGGAACGTTAGGGTATATTTAGGGATGCGTCAGGGTTTGTACGTCATAGTTGCTTTAGAAATGCGTCAGGGTTGGAACGTCAGGGTTGCTTTAGGGAGTCGTCAGGGCTGGAACGTCGTGGTCGCTTTGGGGATGCGTCAGGGTTGGAAAGTTGGGGTCGCTTTGGGGATGCGTCAGGTTTTGAACGTCAGGGTTGCTTTAGGGATGCGTCGGGGTGGGAACGTAAAGGTTGCTTTATGGATACGTCAGGGTTGGTTTAGGGATGCGTCAGGGTTGCGTTATGATTGCGTCAGTGCTCGATCATCGGGGTTGCTTTGGGGATGCGTCATGGTTAAAACGTCAAAGTTTTTTTTACGATAGGAACGTCGAGGCTGCTTTAGAAATGCGTCAGTGTTGGAAAGTCGGAGTTGCTTTAGAGATGCGTCAGGGTTAGAACATCGGTTTTGCTGTTGGGATTCGTCATGGTTGAAACGTCAGGGTTGCTTTAGGGGATGCGTCAGAGTTGCGTCACGGTTGCGTAAGGGTTTGAACTGCAAGGTTTCTTTAGGGATGCGTCAGGGTTGGACGTCGAGGTTGCTTTGAGGATGCGTCAGGGCTAACACGTCAGGGTTGTTTTAAGGATGCGTCAGGGTTGCGTCAGGGTTGCGTCAAAATTGGAACGTCGGGGTGGCTTTAGGGTGCGTCTGGGTTGCGTCAGGTTTGCGTCAAAATTGGAACGTCAGGGTGGCTTAAGGGAACATCGAAAGGGCTTTAGGGATGCGTCAGGGTTTGTAAGTCGGGCTTGCTCTATCGATGCGACAGGGTAGGAGAGTCAGGGTTTTCTTGGGGAAGCGTCAGGGTAAGAACGTCAGGGTTGCTTCAGGGAAGCGTCAGTGTTGGAACGTCAGGGTTGCTTTGGGGATGCGTCAAGTTTGGAACATCTGGGTTTCTTTAGGGATGCGTCAGGGTAGGAACGTCAAGGTTACTTTGGGGATGCGTTACAGTTGGTACGTCAGGTGGCTTTAGAGATGCGTCAGGGTAGGAACGTCGAGGTTGCTTTATAATTTGAACGTCAGGGTTGCTTTGGGATGCGTCAGGGTAGGAACGTCGAAGTTGCTTTGGGGATGCGTCACAGTTGCTACGTCAGGGTTGCTTTAAGGATGCTTCAGAGCTGCAACGTCGACGTCGCTTTAGGGATGCGTCAGGGTTGGAACGACGATGTTGCTTTAGGGATGCCTCAGGGTTGAGACGTCAGGGTTGCTTTAGAGTTAAAACGTCTCTGGTTTTTTATAGATGCGTCAGGGTTGGAACGTCGGTGTTGCTTTAAAGATGCGAAAGTGTGGGAACGTCAGGTTTGCTTTGGGGATGCGTCAGGGTAGGAACGTCGAGGTGTCTTTGGGGATGCGTCAGGGTTTGAACGTCAAGGTTTCTTTAGGGATGCGTCAGTGTTAGACGTCGGGGTTACTTTGGGGATGCGTCAGCGTTAGAACTTGAGGGTGGCTTTAGGGATGTGTCAAGGTTAGAACATCGGGGTTGCCTTAGGGATGCTTTAGGGTTAGAACGTCAGGACTGCTTTTTAGGATGCGTCAGGGTTGAAACGTTGGGGTTGCTTTAGAGTTTGAACGTCGGGGTTGCTTTAAGGATATGTCATGGTTGGAACATCAGGGTTTCTTTTGAGATGCGTCTGGGTTGGAACGTCTAGGTTGCTTTGAGGATGCGTCAGGGTTGGCACGTCGGGTTTGCTATAGGAATGCGTCAGGGTTGCGTCAGGGTTGCGTCAAAATGGGAACATCGGTGTGGCTTTAGGGATGCGTCAGGGTTATATCGTCAAGGTTGCTTTAGGGGTGCGTTGTGGTTAGAACGTCATGGTTGCTTTAGGGTTGGAACGTCGAAGTTGCTTTAATGATATGTCATGGTGGGAACGTCAGGGTTGCTTTTGGTACTCGTCAGGGTGCAAACGTCCGGGTCGCTTTGGGGATTCGTCAGAATTGGAACGTCGTGGTTGCTGTAGGGATGCGTCAAAGTTGCAACGTCGGGGTTACTTTAAGGTTGGAACGTCGGGGTTTTTTATGAAAGAGAAATTTTTGGAACATTAGGGTTGCTTTTAGGAAGCGTCAGGGTAGGAACGTCGGGGTTTCCTTGGGGAAGCGTCAGGGTTAGAACGTCAGGGTAGCTTTGGGTATGCGTCAGGGTTAGAACGTCGGTGTGGTTTTTGGGATGCGTCAGGTTTGCGTCAGAGTTGCGTCAGGGTGGGAACGTCGTGGTAGCATTGGGGACGCGTCTGGGTTTTAACGTCGCAGTTGCTTTGGTAATGCGTCAGGGTTGGAACGTCGGTGTTGCTTATGGGATGCGTCAGGGTTTAAACGTCGGGGTTGTTTTAGGGATGCTTCAGGGTTGGAACGTCGATGTTGCCTTAAGGATGCGTCAGGGTTTGAACGTCGGAGTTGCTTTGGTGATGTGTCAGGGTTAGAACGTCGGTGTTGCTTTTGGGATGCGTCAGGGTTTAAACGTCGGGGCTGCTTTAGGGATGCGTCAGGGTACGAACGTCCAGATTGCATTGGGAATGCTTTAGGTTTGGAACGTCGGGGTTGCTTTAGGGACGCTTCAGTGTTGGAACATCAAGAAGCTTTAGGTTTACATCGCCGAGGTTGCTTTAACGTTGGAACGTCGGGGTGGCTTTAGGGACGCTTCAGTGTTAAAACATCGGGGTTGCTTTAGGGTTAGAACGTCGGGGTTGCTTTAAAGTTGAAACATTGGGGTTGCTTTGTGGATGGGTCTGGGTTGAAACGTCAGGGTTGCGTCAGGGTAGCATCAGGGTAGGAAAATCGGGGTCGCATTCGGTATGCGTCAGTGTTGAAACGTCGGAGTTGGTTTATAAAAGCGTCAGGGTTGAAACGTCAGGGTTGCTTTGAGGATGCGTCAGGGCTGGAACGTCGTTGTCGCTTAGGGATGCGTCAGGGTTTAAACGTCAGAATTGCATTAGGTATGCGTCAGGGTTGGAAAGTTGGGGTCGCTTTGGGAATGCGTCACGGTTTTAACGTCATGATTGCCTTAAGGATAAGTCGAGGTTGTAACGTAAGTGTTACTTTCGGGATGCGTCAGGGCTGGAACGTCGGGGTCGCATTAGGTATGCGTCAGGGTTGAACGTCGATGCTGATTTGGGGATGCGTCAGTGTTGGAAAGTCGGAGTTGCTTTAGAGTTAGAACGACGGGGTTGCTTTAGGGATGTTTTAGGGTTGGAACGTCGAGGTCGCTTTAAGGATGCGTCAAGGTTTGTACGTCGGGGTTGCTTTAGGGATGCGTCACGGTTGGTACGTCGGGGTTGCTTTAGGGATGCGTAAGGGCTGGAACGTCGTTGTCGTTTTGGGGATGCGTCATGTTGTAAACGTCGGAATTGTTTTACGGTTGATTCACGGTTGGAACGTCAGGGTTGCGTCAAGGTTTCGTCAGGGTTGCGTCAGGGTTGCGTCAGGGTTGCGTCAGGGTTGCGTCAGG